GAGAGAGAGAGAGAGAGAGAGAGAGAGGAGATGCTATGCAGATTCCTGAAGTGAAGCTGTACCCTTCAGTGTAATGGTATTTGGAGATGGGGCTTAGGGAAGTATTCAGGAGAACAGAGCTTTTATAATGGGATTACTGTGCTTATAAGAAGAAACTCAAGACCTCTTCTTCTTTCCTCTCCTTCTTCTCCTCTTCTTCTTCATCTCCCCCACCCCCTTCCCCAACCAAGAGCTCGCAGGAGCACATGCTGGATAAGGGCTGCCCACGAGCCAAGAGACCTCAGAATGAAACCTAACTTGTCCACACCCTGATTGTCGGCCTCCCAGAGGCCAGACTGTGAAAATAGGTTTCTGTTGTTTCAGCCACTCATCTGCACATGTTTGTTATGGAGCAAGAGTCCACTAAGAAAAAGGCTAACAGGACACACAGATGTGAGTGGCACAGATGTCCTAGGTTAGTGGAGTGGTTTGGGAAGGCTGATGTGTTGGGGAATTTTAACAACGTGAGGAAGCAGGTTGTCTTAGTTTGTTTTCCTATTGCTGTGATAAAATACTCTGACAAAAACAACTTAAAGGTGAAAAAGTTTACTGTGGTTCACAGTTCAAGGGTAACTCACAATGGTAGCAGGAATGCCAGGCATCTGGCCATACTGCACTGGCAATCAGAAAGCAGAGAGGGGAGAATCTTTGCTAGTGTTCTCCTTGTGTCTCCATTTTAAAAGACTTGATTATTTTTATTTTTAAATTTATTTATATTTTTTATATTTATTATTTTTATTTTATGTGTATGAGTGTTATGCCTGCATGTAGTTTGTAAGTGCAACCGTGCTGTGAAATGCCTGCAGAGGACAGAAGAGGCCATCGGATCCCCTGGAACTGGAGTTACGGACAGTTGTTAGTTGCCATGTGGGTGCTGGGATTCGAACCCGGGTCTTCTGCAAGAATAACCAGTATTCTTAATCACTGAGCCATCTCTCCAGCCCCTTATTATTTTTATTTTATGTGTAGGAGTGTATTGCCTGAATGTGTGTAAGTACACACATGTCGTGCAATGCCCGTTAAGGTCAGAGGAAGGCTTTGGATTCCCTTGGAACTGGAATTACCGATTGTTGTTAGCCACCATGTGGGTGCTGGGAATTGAACCTGGGTCCTCTGCAAGAGCAGTCAGTGCTCTTAACTGCAGAGTCATCTCTCCAGCCTCTGTTTCTCCATTTTATACAGTCCGTAGTCCCCTGCCCAGGGAATGGACCTATCCACAATTAAGATGAGTTTTTCCACATCAATTAATGTCAAGATAATCCTCCATGGACGAGACTGGAGTTCTGGCTCCCAGGTCAAACAAGATTCCTTCAAGTTGATAATACTAACCATCACACAGATCATGGAGAAACTGTGGAGGAAAAGCAGTCTAAGGAGAGGGAGGAGTGAGCACAAAACCCCAGGCAAGAGTGAGGTTGCAAGGCCATCAAGCCAGAGATGAGGAGGCAAAGGGTTGAGAAGGCCATCTGGCAGAGGAGAGTACGTTCAGGGGCGCAGGATACACAGCCCTCACAGGCCACCACAGGGCTTATTATAGTCCAAGTGTCAATAAACACTCATATTTTTATAGACTTGGAGGAACTGAAGGGGAAAGAGAGGAAGCTGGTACTGTAGAGTCCAGGTAAAAGATGATGACAGATGGACCCAGGACCAGGGGCAATAGAGGCAACGAGACAGAGCCAGAGAACTTCCTCATAGATTGTTGCCAAAAACAAGAATCAGGCTGACCTCAAGATCTTTGGTCTGAGACACTTATAAACCAAGGCACATTTACTAAGATAGTGAAGACAGGGATAGAAGCAGGTCTGGGGCTTGGACTCAGTCAGGTATCCAAATGAGACTTGTCCACTGGGTCTTCTAGTGGCGATGCTCAATCAATGCTGGGTCTAGTCTCAAGTTCAGGGGACAGTTATGAATTGGAGTTAAAAATCTGTAGTGGTATAGAGATGGTTTATGAAGCTATTGGTATATGAAAGGATTGGATGAGACACTACAGAGAGGAGACAAGAAAGATACAAGTTTGTGTCTGGAGTTCGCCAGTGATCTAGAGGGTGGGGTGTTGAGAGGATACAATGAAGGAGACTGGAGAGGAGCATCCAAGCGTGTGGCAAGGAATGAGGCAAGCCAGAGGAGCTCTGTATACCTGCTGCCAAGTGCACAGTACATCTCACAAAGCAGGCACTGACCAACCGTGTCAAACACTCAGAGGGGGGTGAAGACTGGGGGAGGATGCATAAGTGGCTTTGGCAATGTGGTGTTCGCTAGTCACTGTGGTAAATGTGGCTGAGAGAAAAGCTGGAATCGGTGGAGCTCAGAAGAGTGGGGGCAAGAAGATAAGATGACAGAAAACAACTCTTTCAAAGAATTGTGCTGGAAAGGGGACTGAGAAGAGGTGAAAGCTAAGAACTGAATGGTGGGTAAATAGGAATTTCTATAGTTTCTGTGGGTTTGCGTCTTGAAAACAGAAGTCAGTTCTATCACCACTTCATTTTTATAGCACTTCAAGCCTTTCATATTTGTGGCTAATACAATGTGAATAGTATTATATACTTTTAGACGAAGAAAAGAATTCACACAGGTGGAGTAACTTATTAATGTACAGCAAGCCACAAGGGGAAGATAGGCCCTCTCACCAGGAGTTACATGGTGTCATGGATAAAGACTGGGTTGACAGACTGGTCAAATGAAATACAGCACGTTGTATGTTACAGGGCTTCCTGAAGATAAACAAACCTTGTTATTTTTCACATCCACTATGAGAGGGCATTGTTGCTCATAGGGATGCTCTGCCAAAGTGTTTTGGGGAATCTTACCTTTTTAGCGAAGATGGAGTTTCCTGATAAGTGGCTCAAGTGCATAAATTCCAAATGCAGGGTTCCAAATTCTGCCAGAATACTGCTGCCTCCTGAGGCCCAGGGCCAGTTCTGACCAATACCACTAAAGAAGAGAAGACATTGAGGAGTTATGGGACAGGTGAATTCCATTTTCCAAGGTTCTGTACAGCACAGATGAGAGAGGTGACTTCTCAGTGACGGCATCTCAGTTAACAGTTGACTTTAGATATCATAAGCCAAACACTGTTTTCTTTGGTTCTTGGTTTAAGCTTTGACTCCTATCTCCAACATGGAATTTAGTGTTGACTTAAATCATACAGCTGCTGTGAATTACCCTTCCTTGTAACCAGAACATTCTGCTCATGACCCTGTACCACACAAGCCTTTCAACAGTTAAATCATTTCAGCCTGAGAGTCCATGGATTTTTAGACATTCACATTATACTCAAAAATCTATTTGTACAGAAGATACATTTCAAAGATCCATTAGTTAAATACTTCTCTAAATCTTCCTTCCAATTACTAGACTTCCCTCCTTAAGTGTGTCTTCACATCATTTTATCAATTTTTTTCTAAGGCACTGTCTTACTGTCCATCTTACTTAATCCATGCTAAAGAATATCAAATTATGCTATATAAATCTCAAAGGCATGAGTTCCAAATATATTGTCTGATGGTTTATCTAGGGGAAATACTTTTCAAAAAGAAGTAATCTTTTTTTTTTAAATGTATGTGGTTAAGGTATGTGGGTGCGTGTGCATGTGCCACTAAATGCACATGCTGAGGCCAGAGGACATAGATGCCTTTCTGTACCACTCTCTTATTGCCTTCATAGGGTCACTCACTGAATTAGAAATACACTATTTTGCCTAGGCTGGCTGGCCAGAAAATTCTTGGGATTTGCCTGTCCATGTGCAGAAAAAATTGCAACATGGTATGGTAAATGCCATTTAAGTGGCTTGTACCAGGATCCACAGCACAGCACTGAGGTATTGAGAATGCTTCTTCAAGCCCGCTTTGAGCTGAATCTTGAAGGATAAGCGCTAGTGAGGAATGAGCAGTGAGAGGGAAAACCTGGCCATGGTCCCACAGCAGATGGACCAGACAGGACCCGGGGCAGCTTCTGATGCTGGTGGATTGAGCGAGATGGCAGGAGTGTTAGCAAAACAGGCTGGGATGTGGAGCCTGCTGGGACTCTCATTTTCCGCTTTCCAACACACATCTCATTTAAATGCTCCTCTTGGTGTCTCCCAAACTTGCTAGCTAATCTCACTGGCCTGGGTAAATTCTTTCAAGAGTCATAGCCTGTGCCAGGCTGCTGAAGAATGTGGAAGAGAAGCAAAGGATTTTGATGAGGATCCCTTGTGTCTGAAACCCTGGCTAGTCTGGCTCTTGTACTCTGCTCCTTTTTAGAGACCAATTCAGGATTTCTTCTAAAACTCACATGGCATGGTTCACCTAATAAAAGTAAACAGAGTCCAAAATCATGCATTCATTTATTTTAGAAAATGTCCTAAATTTTCAGTTCTTGAAATGTGTGTCAGTCTAATTTTTACAGTTAGCTTAATAAAATGACCACTATCCAAATGAAATGAAAAGCTACTTCCAAATTCTTCCAAACCATGGCCAGCATGTGTAGCAATTAATCATTGATCTGGTCATGACATATCAACATTTTTGTTCCACATTTTCTATCACTGAACAAAGTCAATAATCTATTAGGCAAAACTACAAATGTCTAGGTTGTGGACAACTATTACAAACTAAGTCACAACATAAGGCAGTGCTGGGGTGGGACAAGCCAACATCTTCATTCCGGAGCAGAAAGCAAGTGGTGCAGCGAACAAGTCCAGCCTTTGGACTCCCAGGTACTGGTTCTTTTCAACTTGAGCTTAGAACAGGTGGGCACACTCAGAAGTGCCAGTAAGCAAGCCGAAGTGCTAAATTAGACTTAAATTTATTTTGTGTTCAGGCAATTCTTTGTAATTAATGCAGTGAATCAAGAGGAAACCTGAGATAAACTAATTTTTTGCTATGCTAAATTCTTTTTCTATTATTCATATTAGAAGGAAAATAGAATTCTTTTTTATCACTGTTGAATTACATATAGAGCAAGAGCATTAAAAACATGTATCATGCTAAGAGAGAGAAATCTGGGCTTATAATAAATATTTACATGAAAGAATGGCTTTGGTTATCACGAATTTGACCTACAGAATTAATGTATTTCATTAAAGTTATTTACAAGATAAATGATATTCTGTTAAATATACATCTGGGAAGTGGTTCAAGAAGTCAGAGAGCACAGCTCAACCTAGAGCCTATATAACGTCATGTATATAGGACCTGCAGATTGGCCTGGAGAGAGGTTGTAGCACATACAATGGCTATCACAGCTATGCGATGGTGACCCAGGGAAAGACCAGCTTCCACTCTGGCACAGCAAGCAAACACTAAGCTTTCTAGAGTTTTAAAACTTAGTATTATTTAAAGATAGGATGAAGACTAGGCTGGTCTAGAACTCTCTCTGTATACTAAGCTAAACTTACCTGGCTATAAGGTCATTTTTGTCTCTAAATTCTGAGTCTAGTGATGAATCTGCATATTTGTAAAGCTAAAATACCTAAATAGATGGTGGGTACTTGGAATTAAAATAGGGGGCTTGTGAACCGAGACAAGAGAGAGGTTTCCTCTCTTGATCTAGAAGCTAGGGCATCTAGAACAACATGTTAATCAAAGCTAAGTGCTCTAGAACTTCAGTCCAAGATTACTTTGACCTATGGCAGTGGAGGATTCAAAATGCCTTTAATGTCTTTCATTATCAGAGTATTTTAAAGGCAGTTGTGGTTTTTTTTTTTTAAAATCTGGCCTGTTTTACAAACACTAACAATATTCTAGAAAAATATGTTAAAGGCAAAATAATAGCTTGTATTCAGACACTATTAGCTCTGTAAGATAGCCATGAAAGGGAGGGATATTTAAATAGTCCCAATCTTGTTATAATGACTACAATTTAAGCCAAATGATGAATCGGTGTATGGAAATATATACACAAAAAGGCAATTAACATGATCTGGGCAGCTGCCAAATGTGTGGTTCAAAGAATTCTGGAACAGAACTCCAAATTGTGATCATTCTAGTGCATGTATTTCTGTTTCCTCTAGTCTGTAGCTCTTCCACTTTAAACCAGAATATTATTTAATATGTATGCTTCAACTTTCATTTTGCTTAAATTTTCAATATTCTACCAAGGTCACAATTATTTGAAAATAAAACAAATCACAGCAAAAACAGTTGACTTCAGTAAGCACAATTAGAAAACTTTTTTTTTAAAAAAACCAGGCTTAGTGGCACACTTTTAATCCAGCACTCGAGAGGCAGAGTCAGTGGCTCTCTGTGAGATGGAGGCCAGCCTGGTCTCCACAGTGAGGCCAGCTGGGGCTATAGGGAGACCCTGTCTCAGAAAATTAGATAAAATAAAATAATAGATTCACTAGGATTCTTTGGAAAATGTGGAATGCTATTTTCTTTACAGACTACAATTTTAATGTTGTTTATTAGCAGTAGTAACACATTTCCTGATTTTATTGTACTCAAAAGCATCAAAATGTAATTATTCACTGACTTCAAAGCTCTGATGAGCCACAGGTGTCATAGGCCTTGCCTGTCTCCTGGGAATGGCTAGCAGGGTCAGAGGAAGGAACCACAGTTACGGTCCTAATGGCCCTATTCTACTCACATCTGAATCCCATGGGAGATTCTGAGAACTCTTCCTAGATTCTGTAATGATTCAAGTAGCTGGAGGATTGTTCTGGATTGAAGGTACAGTCTTTCAAAATAATCTTTTTTCATTTTTATTAAGTTTTTGTGCATTTCATATAATACATCTTAATCAAATTTAGACACCCGCCCCCTCCCTACCCTCATAAGCCCCCCACCAGGTTTCATGTATTCTGTCATATATGTTAAGTCCTATCCTATCAAGCATTTCTATTCAAGTGCCCCTTGGTGCAAGTTCATCCACTGGAGTCTAGTCAGCCTACCTAGAGTCACTCGCTTAAAGATCTACTCTTCCTCACCCCACAGTAATCATTTGCCAATAGTCTTAAATTGAGGTAACCAAGGGGAGTATATACTTTAGTGACTACCCAGATATAATTTGGATCATTAACACATATATTTGGCAATTGTAGCATGCACAAGTGCAATAAATAGAGAATGTGCAGAGCTAAAACGATCCTTAAAAACTGCCAGATGAACACACAAAGCATTAAACAGCTACATGGTGTCAATTAGCTTTGTTTCGATTTATCTTCCTTGTGCTTGCTATGCCATGCAAAAATGGGAAATTAAGAACTTTCATTAAAGAATAAAAAATATATAATTTTCTTGAGAATCCTTGCTGGAATGATCTCTGATTAGCTGATCTGTGAATGAAGTCCCTTCAAATTCATAGTCTACAATATAGTTTACTCCTTGGGGTGATGGAGTTATCAGTCTTTGGGAGGAAAAGCTCCCCCACATCCTACATATTGCTCTAAAGTCTTACTCAGGCATGCCAATGGAATGGCCCACAGGGATACTTAATTCAAAAGAGAAAATAATCTGATATTATTCCTTTTGGATTTTAGCACAAATTAGGAAAGAATAATTAGAAATTTCATGAATGACAGTTTCATTTAGCTGTACTCCCAAAGCGAATCGATTTGGAGATAGGATACTTTCAGCTTCACTTACTAATGTCTCCTTCCTCGAAGCCCTGCACCTTGCTGATCTTTAAAGTTCACACTCAGATCTCAGTCAGAGGTGGACTAACAAGCCTGGGGGAATGGCACTGTAAGACTCTCCAAGACTGTACTGCATACATACAGTGCAGTCCATCCATAGAGAATACAATGGGGTGGGCCATCCTCTCAGGGAAAAGGTGGTGAGTTCAGGGCAGCCTTTGACAGAACTCGCTCACAGTCACAACTTCTGCCTCTAAGTAGCAGAGTGCTAGTGGTTAAAACTCCAAAGAATTTCCACACCTAAGACTTTTTTTCCACAAAGGGCCAACATAATGCTTAAAATTCTTCATATCCTGCTCAATCTCATCATGCACAG